CTTTGGAACTACAGTAAGATTTTCAAACTTTTGATAAGTGTAGTTTGCAGATATTCCTGTTCTTTATCTTACCCCTTTAATATTTATTAAAAAGTTTGTCCTGTTTGTCATTTGCAGTCTCTCTATGTTTCTTTTTCTTCCCTTCTCCTTAAGTGGAGAGTTCTTCCTCCCCGCTGTTTCCGTGTTTCTCTCTACATTGATTATCTGATTTTTGGGTCCTACCTCTAACACTGTATGGTCTAAAATTGTGAAGTGCTGCGTGTTAAGTAAAATTCAATAGGAAAAAATCAAATTGAAGCTTGCACTTCAGTTAATTTGAGTATTTTTTTAAGAATGTTATTCCCACATTTTCTATTAATTTGGACAGTGTTTATAGAAATGATGTTTGGCATAAAGTTGAATTCTATTCTATTCTATTCATATAAAACAAGTTATATTTTTTCTTAGTTTCTTCATTCACATCATGTGATTAGTCTTTCTTTGCATCTTTGTCTTGCTAAAACAGAATGAGTGTTTTTAACCGTCTGGCTCCTTTGATCCCACGAGTGCCTGACTCCAGCAGACAAACAAAGGAGCATCCAAAAGTGTGTTTGTCACCTCCTCTGCCTCTTTCTTCTCCCGTCATTAAGAAGAAAGCCATTCACATCCCATCATTTGATGAGAAGGGACTTATCTTTGAAAAACACAACACAAAGCTGTACACGGCGGACAGGTAAATTAATGTGAAGTTTGTTTTTCTGTCTTGGATTTATGTGCAACATAATCTAGTAATTATTGGTACATTTTTTTCTTTCCAGATCATTTGATTCAATTTGGACATCCAAGACACCAAGCCCGCCCTCGAGGAGTAAATCATGTCAGCTTTCACAGAGAAACCATGGAGAAAAAGCTTCAACCCTCCCAAGGACCAAACCTAAAACATGCAGCTCTCAGTCGCTCTCTGCAAAACCCAGCACCTCCATTTCTCCTTCTCTTAAGCCAAATTCCTCTCTCACTCTTCCTGCTGTCAAACCAAAGCCAAGTGATTCTCTTCATCTTCCCACCTCACAGGCAAGTGATCTTTCTCCATTACTGCACCAGCCAGCACCAAAGCCAAGTGTATCTCCAACTCTGACAGTCCCAACACCGAGGCTAAGCCCATCTCCAACGTCCCTTTGCCAAGGGACGAGCTCAGACGGTCCACCAGTAAAACAGCCTTCTCCTATTGCAAAAGAAAGACGTGCTAAATCGATTCCCATCTGTAATGTCAAAGCGGCGACATCAAATGAGATAAAGCATAAAATTCTTGACCAGGATGCTTTACTGGACTTTACTCACCCCGAGATGAGAAAAGGTCGTATGAACAGAGAGTCTCAACATCAGACTTACTCAGAATCCTACAGACGCCCGGTCACGTCTTCGAATCCTTGCTTCCTGCAAAGCAAACTTGGACTAAGTAAAAAAGAAAATACTGCCAAAGATGAAGCAAAGGCTCTGCAAAGGAGTACAGACATTACTGCATTACCTAAACCAAAGTGGAACATCAATCAGCACCAGGAATTTCAACCCAGTAGAATGACAGGTACACAAATATCCACTAACTCTAAAGGCATTAAGTCTGCTGACGTTGATCACCGGGAGTCTCCGTCAGTGTTTGATGGACCGGCCACTCTGTCAGGTCCTCAAAGAAAATATAAAAACTACCCTCAGAAGAGCAATTACTCTCAGACTTTACATTTTACCTCAGCTCACCCACCATATGAGCAACTGTATTCTGAGAAAAAAGCAGCTTTACCCGTGATTCCTCAAACATCCTTTTCCACTGAGCCTCTTTTTAATCAGTCAGGCGTTTCGCCAAGCATCGAGGCAAGGAGGAGACGGTTCGACCTGCACAGTGAAACAAGATCAGAAGCAGCATTTCTATCAGCTTCTCGTCCCAGGAAACAGCAGGAAGAAAACAATAATCAGACAATTACAGGAAACTCTCATAAAATCTTTCATGAAACTGGTGCATCTCAAAACATCAAGTCCCCACAGAGACCCCTCAGGTTCCCGTCGAAGGCACAGAGTCAAACTGTGGATGTAAGGTGTGCAGTGAGTCAGTCTCACTGTTTATCAAAGGATTACAGCTGCCAGTCAAGAGAAGCTGATCAGAAAATGGAGGCTTCCCAGTGCACACACAGGTTAAATCAGCTTAAGACATGTCAGGTGGCACCTCAGACCCAGGAGGCCTCCCACCCTCCCTCTGGTGTGTGCACCACCTCACAAAGGGGATGCCTTTTGAAACCTGACCTTCAGTCACACAGATGTGGCTTAGATCAGGAACAGTCTCCTCCTGACAAACAGATGAAGGTCAGCAGCACAGGACTGAATCACACAGACATGTTAGCACCACCTGACCACCGTGGGGTGCCAGCAAAGCTACCAGAACATCCCTCAGAGAAATATATTGCAAGCTGGCCCCCGTCTGTAGCGCACTGCCCATTCAGCACAGACAGTTTTGGCCTAAGCTCAAAGGGGGTCTTTGACAGAGTATACCAGAGCCTGGAAAAGACAACAACAGCAACAACAGCTTCCAGTCTACTAAATCAGCTGAATGACTCTGAAACAGGCAAAGTATTTTTCTCAGAGGAATCAGAAGACCCCTATTACGTCACGATGTATTACCCAGGCTCAATTTATGTGGGTGAGTACAAATATATCCAAGTCACCTGCAAGATTTTAACAGAACAAACCCAGCGACAGCGCCTCTTTGATGCCCCTGCTTTTATTTGGGAGTTGAATAATTTTCTAACTTCTAGGGGGGGTGGGAACTCTGATGAGGGGGTGGTTAAAGAGGATAGCAGAGGGTCTAAAGGCAGCACTTCTTATCAGTAGAGTAACAGACATGGCGAGGAGAGCTGTGACAAAGTTGGTTAGCAGACTGTTTCAAAGTGAATAGCACAGGAAGACGTGCCAAAGCAGTTTTACACTAAAACACGCCGAAAACATGCAGAAAGGAAGGCGGGACGAAAGGAGAGCAGCTCGGAGATAAAGTGTGAGTACGGTGCTGCAGGTATATTTTTCTTCCTCTAACACCTAAAGAGTAATAACAACACAATATCACACAAACACTGGGAAGTACAGACTAACTGATGTGTCAAACTTAAATCATGTCGTAACATAGCAGGGTAGAGAAAAACAGTAAACAAAGCACACATAGTACCTCAGCACAGCCTGGATGTTGTTAGAATGAGAGCTTCTGAGGCCCAACAAGGGAAAAACTACCAGACATATTTGACAGAGCAAAGAAAATTTAAACTAACAGCTTCATCTGGAGTCTTCATTAGTAGATTTCTTGCAGTTAGATCTGTTAATATATTTTCTGTCTTACAAGACCCTCAGATTCAGGGTCTCTCATGGGATCGCAGCCCTCAGAAAGCCCTGTTACACTCGCTGTTAATCATTACACACTGAGCTTCCACCGGTGGCAGGATACATCAGAGCACATTTGCATTAAATTTGAAGTGCTTTAGTTCACGGCATGTCACAGTTGATAGTGTGTCTCTTCACAGAAAAGGAAGCGCGGCACATACAGACAACGTCTACATATTCAGCCATCATTATTTTAATTATTCAGCACTGTAGTATTCCTGCTGTGACAAAATGTATTTGGGGGAAAACTTCTCTATACTGCACATCTTTCTACATTTTAAACAGTGCATTTAGCAGACATGCAGTTGTTACTTTGCAGATAAGACTTGAAACTTTAGGAGCCTGTTTATGTACCAGTGCAAAGCCATTAAAGCTATAAGCTCTTTCTGCTTGAACGATAATGCAGCAGGAATAAATCCCATATAGCACTAATGTTTTTGTTAAGCTTTGCATCTACATTAACCCATACACACTGTTTGGGGTCAAATTTGACTCATTTTGATAGTTGACCGCAACAAAAAAAAAAAATCAAAAAATCCAATATCATTCTTTTAGCTTGAAATTTGATGACTTTTCCTAAAGTGACCAAAAATGAGTATCGTAAAGACTATAAAAAAAACAGAGAGCAGAATTCATGGTTGCGTTAATTACTGCAAGTTGTCCAGGTCGTGAAGCAGCAAAGCAGCCCCAGAACATCACACTATCACCACCATGTTTGACTGTTGGCATGTTGTTGGAACTCAGACCTTCCAAAAGTCCACAGTCCACAGAATATTTTGCCAAAAGTCTTGGGGATCATTAAGATGTTTGGGTTTTTGTTTTTTTTTAACAAATGTCAAACGAGCCTGTGCGACTTTTTTCTCCTTGGAACTCTCCCATGGATACATATATTTCCCCAGTCCCTTATTGTTGAAGCGCGAACACTGACCTAAACAGAGACAAATGAGCCCTGCAGGTGTTTAGATGTTGTTCTAGGTTCTTTTGTGACCTCGATGAGTCCCCAATGCACTCTTGGAGTAATTTTGGTTGGTCAGTTACTCCTGGGAAGGTTCCAAGTTTTCTCCATTTGTGGATAATGGCTCTCACCATCATTTGCTGGAATCCCAAAGCCCTAGAAATGGCTCTGTAACCATTTCCAGACCGATAGATGTCAATGACTTTGTTTCAAATCTGTTTTTGTAGACTGTCACATTGCGTGTTTCTTTTTGAGATATTTTAGCCTACATCACTTTGTCAGGCAGGTTCTGTTTAAGTGATTTCTCAATTCAGCAGGTCTGGCAGTAATCAGGCCACAGAATTAATAACAGATAATTCACGATTTAAAAGGCAAGTGTGACAAATGTTGCACATATGAAAAAAGAGAGAGAGAGAGAAAATAAATCAGGAATTGGGCAAGTACTTTTTCACAACATTATTAATAAAGAATCTATCTTCTTTATCCACCAACACTGTTAAAGATCGTCTCCCATGTCTGGACTTGACACGGATTATAACACAATTCAAAGTGCTAGCTATAAATACTCTAGCTCTGACAGAAGACACTGTACCCAAAAAAATGTCCCTTTGAGATAAAGTCATATTGCGCATGTGCTCTGCATCTCCCCACTCCCTGTCCTCTTGTCGCCTTGGTAACGGAAAAGGAGGGGGCTCACGGCCAGAGGGGAGGAGAGGTACCCGGACTCCTCTTTACATGAGCGTTCCTGTTATTGTTATCAGTGTGGTGGACAGATTTTACTGCTTCTCGAATTCAGAGCGCCTGTAGGTTGCCCGCTGTCTCCACGAGCTCGTTTGGTCAGTTGAACGGGAGCTGGTGAGTGTGACGACCGTTAGCGGGTGCACGCTAGCAGCTAGCCGTTAACGTTATTATCCAGCGTGACTGGTGAGAGAAACAATGAGGGCGACAGGCTTTGGTAGAGCTAACGTTGGGTAGTCACTTAAAACACACAGGAAAGGGCGCTTTTATTCATGTTATATGCTAAAGCACGTTTGCTCTTAACTTTCATGAGCTTGGCCATTTTATTATTTTTTCAAACAGGGATTTAAAAAAAGGGAGTTTTAGCCTAGCCAGAGCATCCTCAGATATCGTACGCTTCAGTTTCCTACATTTGCTGTAGTGTGTAGCTCGAAATAATTGCATTGCAGTGTGGGCTTGTGAGGGCAGGCAGGGAGGGGGCAGAGCTGCATGGCCAGTGAATGAATCAAAGTGACAGCCTCTGCCTCAGTGACCTGTATGTATGATCAGGACTCATGTATCTAGGACTGTGACTTAAAGCATGGCAGCAGGCTGTACACCCTGAAGGACTAAGCTCATCAACATCTTGGCTCGGCCTGCTGCCTGTTACTGTTACCATCTGCCTGCACTGCTTGCTTCACTTAAAGGCTGAGCTCACAAAAACATCTTTTCTTGCTTAGATCCGACTGGTGTCAAAGCCTTGCTCGCAGAGGGGTTTTTTGCATTTCTGGCCAGGCTTTTGAGATTTTTGTGCCCCATGTTTGAAGTTTCTGCTGCCAACCCAAAGACAAGACAGCTGATTGTAATTTCATCTGTGTTTCTCTGCCAGAATTATTATATCTGTTTTTTCCAATTAGTTTCTTGTTTTGCTTTTTTCCAAAGTGCAAATTTTAGTTTTGTTTTCAATCGTTTTTAATGATTAAAACTTGAGGTGGGACTCACCAGACGATATAATTACAATACTCAACCCACGATACAGTATCATTGCGATTTTTAACATCTATGCTGAGCATTGCAATGACAAAAATTGCCAATCATGTCCTCAAAGTTAAACTTTGTCAATATCAGATAGAGTCAGTCTGCTATCAGTTTGGGATCAGTCTGGGATTGAATGGAGTGAAGTTGGCAGTTACATCTGCGATCTGCAATAATACATCATTTAACTGTTGTCTAAATCAGCAGGAATTCACATTTAACTATTACATTTATGCTCAACAACCTTCCAGGTCTATAGGAATAACCAGAACTGGCTGACAGCCAGCTAAGTCGAGTCCCCTTGAGTTGTGCAAATTGACATCGACTCATTCAGACTGATAATAACATGTTGGCAATGTATCTGCATTTATAAATTAGACAGCAAACCTTTGACAATCTCTTTAAGAGTGACTGCAGTCAGTTCAAGTCAGACTGTGACTGTTTGCAGAAAGTTTGCCTCGTATTAGACAACCTGTGCAGTTACCTTGAGAGTAGTTGTGAATGTACAACAGGCTCAAGCTTTGGGAATTTATACAAGGAGGTTGTCTTCCTATTTTTACTTGTGTGACTGAGCCTTTAGCTTCCTCTGAATTAGGGAGTAGCAAGCAAAGCAAAGTGTGTCCATTGTTGGATGGATTTTTGGTTAAATGCAAGTTTGCTAGGCTAGCTAATAAATAAAGCCTTTTTAGACAGGGAAATTTCTATATATGTTTCTGTTTTATGTTAGATTTCTACACTTTTAGGCGTTCTGAATTGCTGTAAATTTGGTAGTTTTATTGAAAAAAAAAAACCGTAATATTAAAAATGCTGGCTATTATCTTTGCCCCTATAGTATCAACTATTTATTAAGTATCACACTGTAAAATATAATAATTTCTTTTATTTTAAAAAAGAAAATAATCTTCAAATCAACATCAGAGTTGCTCTCAGAGGTATTTGTAATTCCACTGTATAAACATTGAAAAAGTGAAAGAAAAGAAGCGTTCGTTCAGTTTTGGGGGTTAAAATGAAATGTAAATGATTTTTCATTGTTTTGATTTTTTTTTTTTTTTTTTTTTTTTTTTTTTAGAGTGGAGGACACCTTTATTAAGAAGACCTGAGTTT